GTGCGGAGTGTGCGGATGTGTGCGGATGTGTGCGTGTGCGTGTGCGTGTGCGTGTGCGTGTGCGTGTGCGTGTGCGTGTGCGTGTGCGTGTGCGTGTGCGTGTGCGTGTGCGTGTGCGTGTGCGTGTGCGTGTGCGTGTGCGTGTGCGTGTGCGTGTGCGTGTGCGTGTGCGTGTGCGTGTGCGTGTGCGTGTGCGTGTGCGTGTGCGTGTGCGTGTGCGTGTGCGTGTGCGTGTGCGTGTGCGTGTGCGTGTGCGTGTGCGTGTGCGTGTGCGTGTGCGTGTGCGTGTGCGTGTGCGTGTGCGTGTGCGTGTGCGTGTGCGTGTGCGTGTGCGTGTGTGTGTGTGTGTGCCACGGCGCCGCGTGGGAAGTCCCGCGTGGGATAGCAGCATCCCTCCCTGCCATGCATGCCCGGATGGCTGTGCGCTGCAGCTGCGATGGCAGTGACCGCGGTGATCCAAAGTGATCCCGCTTGAGGGCCAGGCCGCGCGCGTCCGCCCCGCCGCTCGACTTAATCCGCCTCGTCGCCGCGCGCGAGGCCTCTACCGCCCAAAAGTGTGTGTGTGTGTGAATGTGTGTGTGTGTGTGCGTGTGTGTGTGTGTGTGTGTGTGTGTGCGTGTGTGTGTGTGTGTGGCCGAGCCGCTGCCGCACCCACAGTGCAGGAGGCCCCACCGCGCACGGGGTTCATGTTCACGGGGTTCCACGCGGATCGTGCTAAGTGAGCACGTGGTTCTGTGCGCATGGGGTCCACACGCATGGGGTTCAGCACGCACGGGTGTTCACCGCGCGTTGGCTCCCGCCGCGTAGAGTTCCACACGCATCGTGTTTGACATGCACGCACACACACATGCACGAACGGGGCTTCCACACTCCTGGGGTCCAGCACGTGTGGGCCTCGCACGCTCAGGCTTCTTTTAGGTCGAAGTGCTCGGTTGGGACGAGCGCGATAGCATCAAGTCTCAAAGGGGCTAGGAAATTCAAGGGCGGCTTCAAAGGGGGAAGATGAAAATTATGAGGATGAGGAGGAAGGACAATAGAACACGATGAAGCATGATGTTAAGGAAGCATGAGGAGCGGCAAGGGGGCGGAAAAAGGAAGGAATGGGACGGTGAGGTGGGGCGGAAAAAGGAAGGAATGGGAGGAAAGGCGTGAGTTTGGCCACGAAGATAAGGATGACGATGAGCAGGACGAGGAGAGGGATAATGAGGAGGGGACAGGGAGGAAGGGATGGAACGGAGGGAAGAAACGGGGGGAAGGATGCAAGGGAGGAGATGAAATGAGAGCGGTCGTGAAGCGAGTCTGGTATAATTCAGCCCTCGCCGCCAGATCAGCCGCGATGAGCAGTTTAGGCCACAGTGTTGTTTTTGTTTTCTCTCTCTCTCTCTCTCTTTCTCTTTCACTCTCTCCGTCTCTCTCGAAACGACGTGGGTACTCCCTGCCCCTTAGCCGTCATAGAAAGGCAGGGTCCAGTCAACTGTTTCCCATTGTCATTCGCCAGAAAACCAGGGCCCGTGGGATTCGTGATATTTCATTTTGTGGGAATGTGATCATTCCCCCCCGCGAGATATGCATCCCGACCAGTGGGCGAACTGGAAACTTCATTCCTGACAAAATCGAGAGGAGCACATGTGGTCGCGAGCCAATCCTAGAGATTGGCCTTAGCTGCCGAACCCGTGCACACAGTGCACGTGCTCCGCATTTGGCCACCGCATGCCCCGAGCAAAAGGAGTGGATTCGCACCAGCACAGGAGGGAGCGGGACGGCAGGAGCCTCAGGAATGCCTACTTGTTCTCACCGTCGACGGCAATTTGCATGGACATCTTGGCATAACTTTCAATCTGCAACACTCGCACACGTCGACGTTCAGGAGTAGGGGAATAAAACTTGACATGAGCATAACAACTCGGAAGTCCACGCGGATTTCTCGGATCGGCGCTGGGGCCCACCGGCGGCACCTCCGGCGCCGCCCCTTGCGCGCTCCGCTCGCCAGGGAGTGGGGTCCAGCGCCGATCCGAGAAATCCGCGCGGACCTCCGAGTTGTTATGTTTATGTCATCTTCGTTCCCCTCAGGAGCCCTCCTTGGCAGCAATGGCTGCCAGGGAGTCGGCGTACACGTTGCCAGCGATCATCCAAGAAGGAATGTGACAATCGATGACGTCTTGACCGTCCAGATGTGGAGGGTCCTTGAGTACGAGAAGCTCTGCATAAGCACGGGTTCGAAGATGGCACCTGATCGATCTCCAGATGTTGACATTTGCTCCTGTCGGTTGATTGTAGATTCGAGCCCCCTATCCACGGTAGACCTCGTTGTTACCGGTCTCGTATACCATAGGCTTTGCGAGCCGGCGAATACTCACCTCAATATACATTTTCCTTCGTCCAACCGTCTGTCGGTCACTTGGAAGCGGACCGTACAAGCACGGGCAAATGCGCATTATTCAAGAGAACAGCAGTTGCCAATACGAAGTCGTGGATCGTGTGTGTCGACTCTTCAAGATGCACCACTATGAATAATCAACGGTTCGCCCATTGACCCAGAACCGAAGGAGAAGTTGTCAGCATCACTTTGTCTCATACTTTTCCAATCCTCACGCTGTGTCGGCCTGTTGAGTCCATTCCGCTGGGATACCCACTCCTCTGCTAGGTTGACCTGGGTCACCGCGTCACCGCTCGGTGACACAGATCCTCGGTCACATCAAGAATCGGACAGACGGTGTTGCGCGGACATTGCCGATATTTATGGATGGGTGTCTCCACGACTGCCTGATGACACCGAGCGCGCAAGCCTGACCTGAACAATCATAATGTCAGTGTGTGGTTAACAAATGGCAACCCCCCCGGGGCTGATGAATAGACCCCGCGGGGCGCTAAACATTTTGTTTGTTCCCCCTTTCAGACGTCGCCGTCGTCATCGTCGTCGTCGTCGTCGTCGTGTCGTCGTCGTCGTCGAGCACAGCGGGCCTGCGCAACCCCCCCCAAAGGGCATGCGCAGTGCGTCGTCGTGGTCGTCGTCGTCGTCGTCGTCGCGTCGTCGTCGTCGTCGTCGTTGTCGCCGTCGTCGTCGTCGTCGCCATCTTCGTCGTCGTCGTGATCGTCGACCGGGCCTGCGCAGCACACCCACCCCCACCCCCATAGGGCATCCGCAGTGCAACGTCGTCGTCGCCGCCGTCGCCGTCCGCCGTCTGTCGTCCTCGTCATCGTCATCGTCATCGTCCTCCTCTTCTTCGTCATCGTCGTTGTTTTCGTAATCGTATTCGTTTTCATCGTCGTCGTCGTCGACGACTACAGAGACTGCCTGCCTTGCTCGGGTCGGATGAAACGCTGGGAAGAAAGGGGGGGGGTGCGAAACCTGCTGCGCGCAGCTGGTTCCAGTCGCCCCGCCGAGGGGCCAGTCCTCGATGCATGGCCGCTTTCGGCGCCAGGGGGCGCTCAGAAAATCAGCAATGTGAGCTGCTGGGCGAACCCCCGCTTAGCCACGCCTCCCTTTCGTCCTGCCCGCCTTGCTCGCGGGCCCGCGAGGCAGCTGGCGCCCCCGTGGCTGCGGCCAAGGCAAAGGAAACGCATCGGTTCTACAGAAAGGAGCACGGAAAGCGCGGGTCGACAGCATTTCTTCTTCATTTCGAACAGGTGTCGCCTTGGTTCACGGTCCATGCTTCTGCCGCCTTTGCCTCCCGCCTCCCCTCCCCTCCCTCAGTTTGTGCTGTATGTCGCCTTCGGGTGGCGGCTGGGTGTCGGTGCTAATCACCCACCAGCACCGCCGCCGTTGATTTTCAATCTGGCGGGCGCCACCCCGCGATTCGCCCGAGCAGGGAAATCGTTGTTTCAAACACGGCCCCCCCACGGATTTGTTAATCACAAGCTGGCATCTTCCTCCTTCCATACGTGTTGCCTCCGTCCACGCCCGGCCACTTGCGACCGTCATGGACATTTCGGCCAAACGGCGGCCGTGCGGCAGGTTCTCGAGCCGAATGAGTTGCTCGCGCAGACTGTACGTAGTTGGCATGACCCAGGAGGAGGAGGAGGAGGAGGAGGAGGAGGTGGAGGGAGGAGGAGGAGGAGGAGGAGGAGGAGGAGGACGGGGAGGATGAATCCAGCAACGCCCAGGCCATCGAGCTCGGCTCGACGACGTCGGACGTCGAGGGGAGCAGCCACCGCCCCGCGCGCCGCGCCGCGCCGGGGGCGCTGGGCCTGGCGATCTTTCGCAGCTGCTCCTCCCCCTCCCCTTTCCCCTTTTCCCTCTCATCCTTCCCCCTTTCCTTCCTCCTCCTCCTCCTCCTCCTCCCTCCTCCTCCTCCTCCTCCTCCTCCTCCTCCTCTTCTTTCTCCTCCTCCTCCTCCTCCTCCTCCTCCTCCTCGTCCTCCTCCTCCTCCTCCTCCTCCTCCTCCTCCTCCTCCTCCTGTTCTTCCTCCTTTTCCTCATCCTCCTCATCCTCCCATTCCGCCTCCACACCCTTCCTCCCCCCCTTTCCCTCCTCCCCATCTCCCCCCCCCCTCGCGATGAATCGGGGGCCCACAGGCGGTGTGGTGACCACACCGCGTAGTGAGTCAGTAGGGATATGGGATCACCGCACAGTTTGGGGACCCCCGTGCAGTGACTGACTGTGCGGTGAGGTCGTTGGGAATTCGGGGTCACCACGCGGTCCGCCACCACAGGGTTTGAGGGTCCCGACGATGAAGCGAACGTGTCCTGAAGGAAAGGGGCCCTGAGTTGTTTCGCAGTTTGTTTCGGTCTCCCCCTCCTCCCTATCATCTTCCCCTTCCCCTCCTCCCCCTCCTCGTCCCCACCCCCTCCCCTTTTCCCCCTCCTCGTCCCCCTCCTCGTCCCCCTCCTCCCCCCCTGAGAGAATACAGGAGGAAGAGGAAGAGGGAGGCCCCCTCTCCCTGTTCCCCCTGTGTTCTCTCCGCGCCGCGCTGGCTGGGCCTAGGCCGCACCTGCAGGGCCCAGTTCGGAGGCGTCGTGAGCGAGGTCAAAGGGCAGGGGCAACGTTCGGCAGGGATAGGCGCAGGGGTTCGAGGTTCAAGGTCTTCATGCGTGTTTCGTGGACTTTCGGCGGTTCTCTCCAGCAGCTGCGCCTTCGGAGAGGCGTCCAGGGGTGCCCGAATCGTCCCGAGCGGCCGCCAGTGACCTCAGTCATGACCCGAAAACCGTACGACTCGAAGGCAAATTCAGTAGGGCATAGGCCCAGGGGGGCATTATGGACCCTCGATCGCCCATTGATCGCTGTTAGAGGCCCGATAGCCCACTCCGTCCAGGAGCGTGCGGATTCGCCATCGGGGGCCTTCCGCCGATCAATGGCGATGTATCGCCGTTTCAAGGTCGGTGTTTCCCTCCATGAGCCAGTCTGCTTTCCATCCTTGCCCCTCAAATGTATATCGATTGCGCCCGGCTCGAACCGATGTGACTCTCGGAATCAGGCGATGCATGTTGGTGTGTTCTCGGCGCCGCTGCGCGTCTTGGCAAGGATGATCTGGTTCGATTCCGACTCCGTGGCGATGCAAGCCGATTCGACGCTTGTTCGGCGATCCTACAGATTCAATCGCTTCGCTCATGCCGCCGGCCCTGGAGCCCTCTTTAGGGCCTCTTGGGGGCCTCTTGGGGACCTCTTGGGAGTCTCTTGGGGCTCCTTGGCGGCGTCTTGAGGGCCCTGGGGCTCTTGAGGGCCTCTTGGGGGCAGGGGGGGGGGTAGTCGATTGCGGCTCCCCCCTCGGAGGCCACGATCCTCGTGAGGGGCGTCGAAAAATGGCCCTCCCCTGGAGTGCTCTGGTGGCTTCTCCCGGGACCTTGCCGGTGTACGTTTCGTCCGGGGGCCCCCAGGGGCCGATCCGCGCGCGCGAGCTAGAAATATTGTGGACCAGTTGCCGGAGATCTTAGCACGCCTCTGGCCCGTTGGGCCGGCGACTTGATGAAGTAGTAACCGCTCCTGCTTCCTGGGGTGCGAAGATTTCTGCGCTCTCCGCGTCACGGCCGGATGTGCAAAGGCTGCTACCTTCAGTCAGGGGCGAAACGTGGATTGTGGGCGGATAACACATCCGAACATATCCGTATCCAAGGTTCCACGGGATGGGCCCCTGGGCATCCACCCCTTGGGTACGGGGATTTTTTTTCGCGGATGCCCCGCGCGGAGCCTATGCATGCGACCGTTTATGCACGGGACCGCGCCACGGAATCCAGACTGCTAATTAGGCCGTGAACATGGAAAGCGCTCGCCGTTCGCGAGGAGACATGCGCACGTATGAGTTCCCGTGGGTTTCAAGAGAGAGGGAGAGAGAGAGAGAGGGAGAGAGAGAGAAAGAGAGAGAGAGAGAGAGCGGTGCGCGAGTGTTTTTGTGGCATGCGGGCTGCCTCGCGAACTGTGGAGGAGGCACACTGATGAAATCTGGGCCTCCCAGACGGGATCGGAGCAGACATGGCATCGCTGGAGCGTGTGTAGATTTGTTTGCTCAGCGAGGGCCATCGAGGAGCATCTTGGATCATCATAAGCGCACGAAGCGCACACATGCACGGGGAATGGGCGCCCTAGCGATGTCGAGCAGATTGGGTCGAGGGGTCGCGCCGCAACGCCGAAGCATCGGCGATGCGGCTCGATACGGAGCCCGACTTTCTGCACGCCGGCTTTGCCGATGCACCGCAGGGTTTGCCGATGCATCGGCAATGCGGCGCGATCCTCCGACCCCATCTGGGAGGTCTCCAGGTCGGTGGGGACGTGCGTCCTCTGTGAGCTCCCTGTCCAGGGAGGGCAGCGCGGAGTCGCGAGGAAAAATTGCGTGCTGCGCACCGCTGGCGCGATGCGCAAAGTTTGGCGACCCGGCAGGGACGAATGGGGATAAGCTGCGCTATAATACATCAGCCCCTTGCACAGCGCAGGCCGATCCGGCACAGCTGGTGCCAGTTCCGGGAAGGCTGGCTCGCGGGCGCGCCCGGGAGAGGGCCCCAGACGGCCCAGGAGGGCTCAAGGAGGCCCCAAGACGGCCTAGGATGCCCCGCGGAGAAGGCTCGATGGGAACAACGACCGACGGTAGGATGACGACGACGACGACGACGGTAGGTTCGATGGTGGACGTTCCCACACCAAAAGATCGATGGACCTCCTGGGGCCTCAGGGTTGGGTTTCTGGTGGAAGGCCTCTCGTGGACTGGCCTCCACTGTTCGAAAGGTGCACGTCCCTTCACCCCCGGTCAACGAGCACCCAATCCTCCCAGGGTCCAATGCCGGCGGGCCCGAGCCGATCCGATTCCGATGCTCTAGCGATTTGGTGCGGTGGCACGGTGCTGTTCACGCCGTTGTTGTGCAGCCTGGCGCGGCCGATCCGATGCGATTTCGCTTCCGTGCATTGGCATGCAACTCCCGGGAGATTGAGTTCGGCATCGGAGCTAGTAGGTTCGCGGTCGAAAATTGGCCCTGCGTGACATAACCCCGCTTGATTCAGCAGAATCAGGACTGGTCCACACTCATCGGACTTAGTCTTGGGCCCAATCGCCTCATCCGACTCCTCGATCGGGCTCAGATTACAGCTCCTCATCATTCTTACGTAAACCTCCAAACGATTCCGACTCCGTGCCAATGCGGGCTGGCTCCCACGCCCGTCCTGTCGGGGGAGCGTAAGACCCGGGTTTACCGGGACTCGGGTTCGCCATCGTTTTTTGAAGACCGCGACTCGGATTTTGACGAGGAGGAGTTTCGTGGGATGTCTGCAGCGGGAGGCCTCGTCAAAATGTAGGCTCGGCCTCGTCATTTTTTTGACGACCTCGTCGGGGATTTCCGAGTCCCCCGTACCCGGGTCTTACGTCTCCCCGATCCTGGTCCAAAGCGATGTCTCGACTCGATGCTCATTGGTTCCGCTCTATCTGTGCCCCGCCGCTCCCTTGGGACTTTCTGTGAGTGAGGGCGCGAGAGGTGGGGCGTGGAGCGCGGTGGGCGGAGGAGGAGGAGGAACAGAAAGGGGAGGAGGAGGAGGAGGAGGAGGAGGAGGAGGAGGAGGAACAGAAAGGGGAGGAGGGAGGAGGGAGGAGGAGGAAGAGGAGGAGGAGAGGAGGGGAGGAGGAGGAGGAGGAGGAGGGAGGGGGAGTATCGTCGTAACAGTTGTACAGCTTCTGTGCGTGCAGCTTCATGTGAGGAGTTCAGGCTATGGGGGAGGAGGAAAAAGCGGAGGAGAAGGAGGGAGAGGGGAGGGGGAGAAGGAGGAAGGGGAAGAGGAGGCGGACGACGGAGGGAGGAGGAGGAGGCGGAGGAGAAGGAGGAGGAGGAGGAGTTGGAGGATGAGGAGGTGGAAGGGAGGATGAGGAAAGGGAGGGTGTGGCTGTGGGAGGACGAGGAGGAGGAGGAGGAGGAGGAGGAGGAGGAGGGCGAGGAAGAAGCGCCCCCTGCAGGAGCGGCGCACGCCCGCGCTCGTCCACTGAGCCCGCTATCAGCGTTTCGGCGCCCGCGGCGCCGCTGGTGGAGCGCCGCAGCGCCGAGCTGCCGAAGCCACCAGAGGACCCCCTGCCGTTCGGGGGGCTCCAGTCGAGCAGGAGATCGACCACGGAATCGATCCGTTAGCCCCGCAGTGGTTTGTCGGTAGAATGTACCATCTGAATTCCAAATCTTTCGTAGATCGGCGGAGCCTTCTACGTACTCCTGTAGGTTCGACTAGCAAATCACTGGTGGGGTAGATCAATATTGTAGTCGATCCCCCACTCGATCCAAAGGTGTTCGCGGTTCGGTCGGTTCGGTTGTGTCGCAGTCGATTGCGTCGCGATCGGTTCGGTTCGGTTGGTTATTTTGTCGTTGCCGCGTCGATGCGCACTTCTTGGCTGTTGGCGGCCTGTTGATGTCGGTCGGTCTGGGTTTCGCCGTCAATTCGGTTAGTTGTCGGCTGTGCTGCCACCGTGCACGGCCTTGGGCTCGAGGATCGGGGAGACGTCAGGCTCGAGCCGGCCCGAACCACGGCCACGATGCTGAAGCAAGGACCGCTTCGGGTTCGCGGTGCGATCGGTTCGGTTGCGTCGCAGTCGGTCACGCTTGCTCGCTTCGATCCGAGCGGCCCCCAGGGGGAAGCTGGGGATAATGCCTTGACGAGGGTCGGCACCAATCGGGCGTAGTTGCGCCCCATTTGGGGATTGGGCTGCCTTTGAGGCCAGGTGCACTCCCGTGGTGGGTCCATGGGGCACGACGTGCGTGAGCACTGTGCCGAATTGCGTCTCCAAGGAGCCGTCTCGGGGGCCAGCTGAGCGCCCAACATTCATGAAGTGCGTGAGGTTTGTGCCGAATCGAGGTTCCCATCAAAATGGAAGGGCAAGTCGGAAGGTATTTTCACGTATCCCAGGCGCCCCAAGGCTCAACTCACTCGGTTCTTTACGTGTCCCGGGCCTGAGAGCCCAGATCGCTAATATTTTCACGTGTTCCAGTGGAGTGCGGGGCCGCCCAGGAGTTGTCACGCGCATGGGCCGAGCGCTGGGATCGCAGTTGATTTGTAATTTTACGCGCCCCAGGAAAGCAATGAAAAGCCACCACGCCGAATCCCATCGAGTACATCGAAACATCTTTGGGCCGGCGGAATCCGCGAAGTGCTTCTTAGCATGCTCTGTCATTGCTTCATCGTGTCATCATCTTCTCTCGAAAATTGGCACTGCGACCGTGTGTAGACATGTGGGTTGCCACCCATTTGTCCATACCATGTGCAGACCTTTGGGTTGCCACCTCTGTATCGACATTCTGGCCGAAGATCGCTACCCATGTGTTCACAGTTTGGCGGTCAAATCCAGTAGAGCACAAGCCAGCAGAAACAGAGGGGGTGCGTGGAGAAGGGGAAGAGCGAAGTGAGGCAACGATGGCGTGGAAACGCGCGCAGAGCTTCCAATCCGCGGGTGTTCGGGGGAATGGCTTCAACGAGAATCCGTACCAATTGCTGCAACCTGTCTGGAACTTAACCTCCCCTGATGGATTAGGGGGCGGTCTTGGCGTCCCTTTGAGGGTCGGATGGCTGTTTTGCGATGTCGATGCTTCTGGTAAGATTGTTCATTGCATCTCGAGTGAACTCCGCGATACCATTTCGATGTTCGTGTAGCCTTCTTGGACCAATGCTCACTTCTTTTGAAGTTTTTTGGGTGCCAGCAAAGGGCACCTGGAATTCCATGGGCCGCGAAGCACGTGGGTGGCGGGCTCAAATGAGGACCGGCAGAGCTCTCTTGAGGGCCTCTTGGTGTCCACCATGGGGCACGCAATGCGCGATGGGCTTGCGAAGCCGAGGCTCACTTCAGCCGTCCTGAGGGTCAGCGGATCGCCCCTGGAGGACCATGGGCCATGGGGCAGGACATGCGCGAGGGGTCTGCCGAATTGGGGCTCCGAGGAGCCGTCCCAGTGGGCAGGTGCGCGCCCATGACGCGCGAAGTGCGCGAGGGGCGTTCCAGAATGAGGTCCCTAATGTGAGATTCACTGCAGGGCTTCCGCTGCCGTGTTAGGCTCATCGCGATCGATGGCGAGCGACGGTTGCGGCGGCAACGACGACGACAACGACAGCGACGACGACGACGATGACGACGACGACGACGACCGACTCCGACGACGAACGACGGCGAGTGACGGCGACGATGACGATCGGCGAGAGACGGCGGCGACGCCGACGACGACGACAGCGACAGCGACGGCGAGAGGCGAGCGACGATCGCCTGGCGGCAGCAAGCGCCGCCCCGCACTCGCCCGCAGGGATCCGCGCTGCCGCCCAGCCCCGCCGCGCCGAGCTGCACGCCGCAGAGGCCCGCGCTTGCGCCGCCCGTCCCCCCCCCCTTCCTCTCTGGCCTCGCCGCCGTGGTCGTCGTCGTTGCCGTCATCGCCGCCGTCGTCGTCGTCGTCGTCGTCGTCGTCGTCGTCGTCACCGTCGTCGTCGTCGTCATCGTCGTCGTCGTCGCTGTCGTCGTCGCCGTGCCCGTCGTCCTTGCCGTCGCCGCCGTCGTCGTCGTCGTCGAGATTCTCATCTATCGTCCGCTGGCGTGCAGCAGCACCGATCGTACCAGTGGGGAGGTTTGGGCCCCCCCCCCGCATGCTGGCGCTCGCGGCTCGCGCGCATGTGGCGATCGCATCGCACCCCGCCCCGAGGTGCCACACCACGCCCATTCGTTGCTGTTACCCCCCTCCCCTGAGTAATGACCGTTAGCGGAAACAACAAAAACAAGTACGCCCCCCCCGAGACATGCTCGCGTCGTCGTGAACAAACCGCGGCGGGGGGTTTTGGGGACGTTTCTGGCTTCCAGGGGCCTTCGCCGGGCCCAGGGGCAGTCCAGAGACGGCACGGGATTGAAGGCCCGCCCCCGGGAAGGGGTCCGGACTCCCCGGGGGCCCCGTCTTAGCATCGCTCGGACGTGTGCGTTTTTCCTTCGGCGGGGACCATCGAGGAGCATCCTTGATCATTTGGCGAGAAAAACCACGCACGAAACCAACAAACAACACAGGGAATGGACGTCCGAGCGATGGCCAGCCGTAGTGAAGAGAGCAAGGCATCACAGATGCGTGGGGCAGCGGGGGAAGGTTGTCGACCAGTAAGGAGGCTCCGGCTCTGCCTCGGCGTGCCCTCCTCCGACAGCGATGCCGAGCAGCCGCGCGCTCGCAAGAGAGAGAGAGAGAGCCACCCCCGCCTCTGCGTGAGTTGCACTGCGACATGCGTGGTGGCGCAGGGTTCGGGTCGGGCGAAAGGGGGGGATTGGGAAAGGGGGGGTTACGAAATTTGCTGCATGCAGCTGATTTTGGCCTCACCGAGGAGCCCATTCCTCGATACATAGCCGCCTCCAGCGCCGGGAGGCGCCGGGAAAATCAGCTACGTGAGCTGATTCTCAAACCCCCCCTTTGCTATCCCCCCCTTTCGCCCGACCCGGTGATCTGGTCTTCCTCAAAGGCCGACCTACCTCTGCATCGAAGCTGGAAGAAGTGACTGGGGCCATCCCTCCCACTCCTTCCAGCCCTGGCCGGTCCCCCTCTCTTTTTGCAGCCCTGGCGGCCGCATCCCTGCCGTTTCGGGCTCGCTTCACCCCCTGCCAGTGCTTCCAGCCCTGGCCACTTCCGCTCTCACTGATTTTCCAACTTCAATTTTTCCAGCTGCCCTGTACAACCTTCCTTCAGAGAGGGGGCCAGTGCAGGCAACGAGGGGGAGAAGGGGACGGAGAAGAGGGGCTGCTCCAGCCCCTCTCGAGCTGGAGTGCGGGGCTGCCCGCCGCCCGCGCACGAGTCGCGGCCCCGCGGCCGGCCCCGGTCCGTGGCCGCCAGCGGCTGCGGACGGCCCGATCCTCAAGGATCGGGGCGATCGAAATGGGTAATTTCGGAAAGAATGTGCACGATCAGGAGAGCAAATAATAACATAAACATAAAGCTTCGGAGGTCCGCAGGGATGTCGTGGATCGGCGCTTGCGGCCCCCTGGCGGCGCCTCCGGCGCCGCCCCTGGCGCGCTCCGCGCGCCAGGGAGGGGGGTCCAGCGCGGATCCGAAAAATCCGCGCCGACTTCTGAGTTGTTTAGTTTATGTAATTATTCGTTCCTTTACACCAGGAGTTCCTGCTCATTTTGAACAGGACTCGCTGTGCGCGCCGCCGCGGACGGTGTTCATCGACGACAAGAAAGGCCGCCTGCCCACCAGCGGCCGCCGTCTGTTTGGGACAACAGTTGTTGTTGGGTGTTGTACCCATTTTGTCCGTACCCAGTTCGGGCGTCCAAATGGAATGCCAACCTCACGATCCAGGTGAACTGTGAGTGCGATACACGTGGTGTGCATCGTGATACGATTCATACGCACTGCCATCTACAGCCGTCAAGTGCAGCCCCAGCCCTGCAGGGGGACCCTGATGTTTTGAATATTTGGGCTCTTCACCAGGGGACGGCCTTCGTTTATCGTACCTCCATGGAGCCTTGGGCTCGTGCTCTTGATGGACGTTCATGTTGTCATATTTCGACTGTACTGCCTCGTTAGTGCGACATTCGCAATATACATCGCGGCCCACGTGCTTCACAATCCGATGATCCGCCGGACGTGTGCTAGTTCTCTGTGTATGTTGGTGTGTGCATTGCCCCCTTCAGCTCCGCCGATATCTCGCAGCCCATGTCGGCACGCACGCGTCGGTTGAAGGGCTTCGGTGGACAAACACACGTTGGCACTAACCCACGTTCTGAGGATCATCGAATAATGCGATCCGCGACGAGCATTCCGCACAGGAGCCACACGCTTGCGAGACTGATGCACAAGCTGGAGACATACTGGCAAACCATGGTGAGACCGAATACGAAAACTAGTGCACAGGCAGCACTCAGGCGTGCTGATGCGGCGAGTTGGTATGCACACAGGCACGGGTGGCACCCGCTCATAGAGGAAGTCATCACCATCGCAATTTCCGTCGTATCTTTGCTGCGGTCACGTTCGGAATACTGCAGAACTACAAGCATTCCTGCTTCAACGGATGCGACAGTTCAGTGCACAACTGATCCAGCTTCGAGTACCAAGACCTGGATTACAACAGCGAGTGTTTGTTTTGCGAAATGCCGCCTGCTCTACCCACCCTTCTGAAACGGCCAGAGCATACCAGAACACACCGGCCGCAACAAGGGCAACAGCTCAATTCAAAGGCTCACCATGCAAAGGGCTACAGCTATATGTAACGCCACATTTTTTGGAGAGTTCCATCCTCAACGAACACTACAGCCATAATGGGAGATGCAACAATATCGGCAGCAACACTTACACGTATAACTAAATCGTCCCAGAGATCACAACGTCCAAAGAAGGTTACAACAGCCTACGAGTGAGGCTACAGCCTGAGGAAGGGATCTGTTCACTACCACCGAGGGGTGCGTCCCGATCCTGCTTCCGATGGGGGGATACAGCCATGGCGACGCGACACTTCCCCAGACTGCAGAACAGCGCCCCAGCATTCTGCCCTGCCGAGGGGAGTGGAGGAGTCCAGACCATGCAAGTTCGGCCAGAGTAGATGGTGTCGAAGTTCGACACCATCTGCTCTGGCGCGGTCGCTCGACACTGTCGAGCGACCGCGCCGCATCGCCGATGAATCGGCGATGCGGTGCGAGCTGGGGTCCCCTTCTGCTCCCCCCCGCCGGCGCCGCTGCGTCGTGGAGTCGTCGGCGAGGCGGTGCGCTCCCCGGACCCCCGCTGCTCTGGCCCCGTTTTGGGGGAGTTCCACGAGGAGGGGGCTGGAGCGGAGTGGGGGGGGAGAGGGCAGCGGAGGAGCGGAGGTGGATAGGTTTCCTACGCTGGCACGTCGATTAGCGAATTGGCCGTTTTCGGTTCGCGAGAGGGCGTCGCGGCCGTCATTTTTGCGGGTCCAGGTCCGTCGGTTCCGGTCCTCGGCATTTTTCTTTAAAGGCAGGTTTATTAAAGGGAGGTTTGTCCACCGCTGAGAGGCGGGGGGCGGGAGTTGGGTGCGAGAGCCTCCCAGGAGCGGAGCAGGACGGAGTCGGAGGAGATGGCTCCCCAGGACGGGGAGGGGGTCGCTGTCGCCTCCACGGCCGGCAGGAGCAGCGGCGGTCTCGAGCTGGCGCCCGCGTGTTTCGTGTATTCTCCCGCTTGCCGTGGGCTGCATCCTCGCATGCGCGGCACGTTCATGGTCGCAGAAGGGGAAGTTGGAGGAGCATGGGTGGCGCAGCATGGGGGAAACGGGTCCCGAGGGAAGCGGGTCCTGGACAAGGGAGCTTCCCCCAGGACGAGATCATTTTCGTACTGAGCCGTTGTCTGACAGTCCTGGGGTTCAGTCGTGCCTGTCCCTCGACAGGAGGCGTATTCAAAGTTAGTGAGAAAATCGTATGGTAATGATTTGTTATTTTTTGACATGTTTGGATTATTTCTGTGATACTTTGAATTTTTCCTGCTAAATCCGCCTGTATGGGGGACATGCCCGACCTAATCATGGGGCCCGTGGCGGGCCCTGGGAAGCCGACAGCGGCGAAAACCCTCGGGGCCCGTTTCCTTCGGGACCTTTTTTCTTGCATGGCGAGTGGCGCTGGAGGAAGCAGGCGTACACTGACGTCGGGCACGTCCCCCTACAGGAGGAATATTCAAACACAGTCTGGGGACGATGTTTTTTGTTTTGCTTGACTATTTGGGTATTTCCCCGCCTTTTTTCTTCGTCCAAAATCCGCCTGTAGGGGGACATGCCCGACCTCAGCGTACACGCGACCCCGGCAGGCTGCTCTCGCCCGTGCGGCTGCTGATCGTGCGGCATGCGCGCAGCGCCAACAAGGCCCCTCGCCCGGGGGCGTGCCGCTGCCTCCTCCTCTCGGGCGATCGTGAACCTGGATCGCGGGGGCGTGGATGAGCGACGGGTCCGGGGCTCGAGGGACGGGGTCAATGTAAACGGGGGTCAGCCAGAGCGTCGGATTTGCAGGATCCTGCAGAGCCAGGGGCGCACTGACCCGAGTTACCCGCGCACTGACCCGGTCAGCCAGAGCGCAGGATTTGCAGGACCCTGCAGGATCCTGCAGGGCCTGACTGACCCGGATCTGGATTGACCTGGGTCAGAAGATCCCTGACGGGTCCCGTTTCCATGGGAAATCGCGGAGTTCCGCCGCCGAGCCAGGCGGCGCCGGCCGCATTTTGGGGAGGGCACCTCCCCCGATCCATGGATTTTTGGCGACCGCGCGCCAACTCCATGGATCGCTACTCCATGTTTGCGCGCCCCCGATCCTGGTCGTCCTCTCGGGTCGGGAGGATCGAATTTCGGCGGCTTCAACATACCAGCGGGGAAACAGATGACGACCACGGGGATGAGCAGGAGGAAAACGAGGAGGAGGGGGATGAGCAGAAGGAGGAGGAGGGGGAAGAGGAGGAGGAGGAGGAGAAGCAAGAGGAGGAGGGACGGAGGTGGAGGAAGAAGAGAAGGAGCAGGAGCAGGAGGAGTGTCGAGTTTGTTCCCCTCCGAGAGAAACAGGGGAGGATCAACACTAAAGACCCTTCGAGGTTACCGGTGCCGCTACCCTTCTTTCGTCTACGCGGCCTGATTGGCTTCCAAGTCTTGGTCAGAAGGCGCCCCAGGAGATGTCCGTGGGGTAGGGAGCATGGGTATCTTGTTGTCTCCCCGCAACAGGGGCCTTGGCATCGCTCGGACGTGTGCATTTTTTCTCGGCGAGAACCATCCATGACCATCCTGGACCATCGAGCAACAAAAAACACGCATGAAACTGACAAATGCACGGGATATGGACGTCCGAGCGGGGGGGGGGCATTTGCAGGTCTCCAGGGGTTCCCTCCGCCCATGCTTTCGGCAAGCCATCCCTGCGACTTCGTGCAATGCCCGCCCCTGCGCCAATTTCGGGGGCGGCGAGGAGGGGGGTAATGACTAGGGGGGGTGGATAATTATCATCATGGTGGGGGCCATGATTCAGGAGGGAAAAAAACACAGACACAATTAATCGTCGATTCCTTAGAAAATATTGGAAACTATGGGAAGTGTGCGGGGAAGACAGAACCCCCGAAAATGCGGGAAAGTATGGGGAATCCTCTTATTTGTGTATTTATTGTTATCCCAAGGCCCCTTCAATGATACCTCCCCAGGAGGAGGAGGAGGAGGAGGAGGAGGAGGAGGAGGAGGGGGAGAAGAGGAGGAGGAGGAGGAGGAGGAGGAGGAGGAGGACTTCAGCACGTCCCTGGCCTTCCCCCCCCCCCTGGGCCTCGCACGTGCCCCTGGCCACGAGCTGCGCCCCCCCCCCCCCTCTCGGGCGCCTCCCTCCTGCCCGCCCCTGCGCTGAGGATCGGGATCGCGCTGCATCGCAGATCCTCCTCCTCCTCCTCCTCTCCTCCTCCTCCTCCTCCTCCTCCTCCTCCTCCTCCTCCTCCTCCTCCTCCTCCCATCGGCGATGCGGCTCGATGTGGAGGCCGTGTTTCCCCACGACGACGTCGCCGATGCAACGCCGACGTCGCCGATGCATCGCCGATGCATCGGCGATGCATTGGCGATGCGGCGGGATGCTTCGACCCCGTCTGCTCGGACCCCATCTAGGAGGCCTCTAGTCGGACAACGAGACTGGATGGACCCCGCCAGAGGTCTGGGGACCGAGTCCGAGCGGATTTGGGCTGGGCGGGAAGGCCGAGCGTTGTTGTGAGGCCGGAAGGGTGCCCCGAACAACGATGCTAACTGTACCGTTGCAGTGTGCACGTGAGCCGATCCGATCCAGCCCGTTGACCGTACGCCTGGAGGGGGGAGGGGAGCACCCGTGCGAGCGGAAAATCTGGCTCGGGTGAGCTGGCCCGAAGGCGGTTCACGGTGTATCGGCAGCTGAAGCCGAAGCCGAAGTTGAAGTGCACAGAGAAATGGAGAGGGCCCACCCTGCAGGTTTGGTTGACAGCACAGCGTTGAGCGGTGCCTGCGTGCGCCTGGAGGGACGCAGCAAGGGTTGTGGAGGACGATCAACGGAGAGAAAGTATGTTGCCTAATAATTCCCAGATGTCTAAAACAGGTGTTAAACATTTGTTCAACACATGTAAAACCATGTTTGAAACATGTTTATAACACTTCTCCTACATGTTAAACACGTGTAAATTCAACGATCGGACTGTTAGGGTGTCCATTGTCGTGGCATCCACAAGCCTGGAGGGACACATGCAGGACGGGCCGTGAAGGAAGAGCTCATGCTGGAGGGGAGGGACCCCCCTGGAGTTCTGGCCGCTGCCTCGGGGCTCCCCCGGCCGCCGCCAGGGCCTCCCAGGCCCGTCCGACCGAAAACAGGCCGGGATGAATGGGCGGCGAGCCCGGGGGGGGAGCGAGACGGGGCGGGCGTCACGTCCTCCCCCTCCAGGTCCGTTTCGGGAGTTTCAGATCCGAGGTTCGCGGTTTTCGGGCGTCGCCGTCAGTTCTCGGCGGTTTCCCAGCCTCGGGAGGCGTTCCAGCGGCTGCGCCTCGCCGAGGTCATTCCGGGGCATCCGGATCGTCCCGAACGGCCGCCGGAGACCCGAGTTATGACACCCCCCAAAACCAAATTCGGCGGCGAGCCAGGGGGGAAAGTGAGAAGGGGCGCGGGCGTTCTCAGAAGGCTCGGAAGTCCCGTGGCCTTCTGAGAAGTTTGTTAGGCCTTCCCCGAAAACAGCAAAAGATTCTCAGAACACTGGGGGCCTTCTGAGAAGCCCTCCGCCTTAAAGGAGGGCCTTCTCATTCTCATTCCCCTCCTCGTTCGCCACCGTTTGAAGATCCGGTGCCCGGAGAGCTCCAGGGTCCAGGACCCGTTTCCGCTGGGACCTCGATCTTTCCCTCGTAATGACCGGCTGGGCAAAAATGGGAGTCGCCAGAATCATGGGGCCCCGCGCTGCGCTCAATATCAGCCACGCGCAGACGGGGGTGGGGGGAGGGCGGAGGGCTTCTTAGAAGCACCCCTGCTTCTTAGAAGGCGCGGCCCTTATCTATAGATGTAAGGCCGGTGCCTTCTAAGAAGCAGCCTCCTTCGACGAGGCCCTCCCCCCTTCCCCCCACCCCCTTGTGCGCGCCGCCAACAATAGTTGTAGCATCTAGTCAATACGTCCGCCCCGTGAGGCATGAGACGACGTTCGCTTGGCGACGTTACGACGCAGATCCGTCGCAACTCCGACGTGGATCCGACGTTGCCCCGCGAGGTCTCCACGATGTTCGTCAGAACACGAAGACGGAAGGGGATGTGATGCAGACTTTTTGGCGCACTTGTGTAGAATGCGGGTGAGAGCCCAGGGCTTTCCGTTCTCGCCGTGTCGCTGTGACCGTCGTCATTGTCCTCGACGTCGTCGTCGTTCGCTGGCAGGGACCCCTCTTCGCCGACGCCGACGTCGCACACGACGTCGACGTCGCCGTCGTCGTTACCGTCGTCATCGATCTGGTCGTCGTCGTGGTCAGCGTCGTCGACGACGTCTGGTGTTGTCGTAGACGACGGCGTCGTCGTTGTCCTCGTCGTCGTCCCACCGCCCGTCCTCTCCACTCCCTCCTCCCCCTCCGTCCTGCCCCGTCCTCGCTTCGCCTGCAAGGGTTGGGTCAGACGACAGAGAGGGCTCACCAGGGAAAGCGGAGGGCGGACACGAAGTTTGTTGCGTGCCTTTGGCTTCCGCCCCGCCGCGAGGCCCTCTTCCTCCCCAGCGCGCGCACGGGGGTGGCGCGAGGGGGGCCGCCTTGTGAAGGGGATGGGGGGGTCACCTTAGAAGCCCCACCCCGCCTCCAACCCAGACCCCCTCGAGTCAATCACGCTGGGAGGCTTCTCGCCATTTTCAGCCCCTGGGGGCCCTTGCCGGGCCTCGGGGCCGTGAAAAAAAGGAATCAGGACGAAAAACCAGTCCTGGGAAGGGGGTCGAGACCTCTGGGGGTCGACGCTATCAAAACATCATGACGTCGGGGCTCTGGGGAGAGAGTCTTCCTGGACGCCTCCAGGCCCTTCCGGGAAGGCCCCTGGCCTTCAGACGGCCCCCCTTGCTTCCTTAGAAGGCCGCCCCCCTCGCGCTCGCCCCCTCCGGTGCGCGCCGCCAAGAGAGGAAAGGATGCGACATCTGCGGCATGCAGCTGGCTTCGGCTCCGCCGCGAGGCCCTTTTTCCTCGGTGCTTGGGCGCCTCTGGCGCCAGGAGGCGCCAGCAGAACCAGCTACGTGGTTCGCTGATTTGCCGGTGCGTTGGAATGTGCACGGAAAGCATGTGCAGTGGAAGCCCATGGCAAGAAACACCCTGCTTGCCTCCAGTGTGTCCTGGGACTCTGTGGTTTCGATGGTGTTGCGATGGAAAACGTAACGTTTCCACACCAAGAAATCAATGGACGCCCTGGTGTCTCAGGGTTGGGTTTCTTGTGGAAGGTTTCTTTTGGTCGAACTCGCACTGTATTTGCCTCTCTTTTAGAGTGGCAAATGTATGTGCATGGGCTCTCTTGTAAGGCTTCAGATTGCGCGCGCACAGCTTCCCTAGGTAGTCTCAGCTGGCCTCGACAGTTCCCCCGAGTAACCGACTGCGTGCGATAATAATACCCGGGGGATAATATAGTTCGGGGGTCTGGCGGGGATAATGAAGGATTTTCCCGGTGAAGGTAAGTTATGATGATGATGATGATGATGATGATGATGATGATGATGATGATGATGATGATGATGATGATGACGATGACGATGACGATGACGATGACGATGACGATGATCATGATGATGGTGATCCTGGACGGTGATCATGATGCTCGTGATTGCGGAAGCTGATGAGGTGAGACCACCATAGCCATGCTCAGCGTTTTTGATGTTGTTGCTAGTCAACATGAGATGATAGCAACTTCGATTCGCAACTTCCCCCGTGGATTATAAAGTTCGGCCTCCGCGCCCTCCTCCACAATCAAATCCTGTTGAACGGGGATAATAAAAATAGAAGGCCTTAAGGGGGAGGTATGTTTTATGATCGCCCGCACGCGGTTAGCTCGGGGCGGTCTCACCACCCCGCTCCTGGGACGCGGAGCGCTCCAGGGGCGGCGCCGGAGGCGGCGCCGGGGTTTTGAGACCGCCCCAGACTACTCGGGGGCCTGTCCCAGATCTCCGGCGTCTCGATTTTATCATGACACGGGCTCCCGACCTCTCGACCACTTTTCCATGAATGAATTTCTTTCCGAGTGATTTTTGAAGGTCCCGAGGCCCGGTAAGATCAGCTCCCCAAGAAGCCGAACATGATGATGAATAACATTCGTTTCGATGCTTTCGAGGCGTGAGGGCTGACTCGGACTACTCGGGGGGCCTGCTGAGGCCAGCCGGGACTGCCTGGGGGGGCTGGCCGCTTGCAACCCAAAGCCTCGCCAGGCCCCGCTCGTCCGGCCCGAAGCACGCCGGCAGGCCCGCTCGGCCACCACCGCCGCCTCGCTGGATCCGGATCTCTCGGATCTGGGGTACTTGCAGGCCGAGGCGTTGGGCAGCAGGTTCCGGCAGGAGCGCCTCTGTTTGTCTCGCTCTTTTTCTCTCTCTTTTTCTCTCTCTCTTTCTCTCTCTCTTTCTATCTCTCTCTCTCTCTATTTCACTCTCCCTCTCTCTCTCTCTCCCTTTTTTTTGTTTATTTCTTTTTTTCTGTGTCTCTCTCTCTCTCTCTCCAAGTAAGGGCGAAGCGTCTTGACTCGCACACTGGCCCATCATCCAATATTATCAGAACGTCTGGTTGTGTATACGAAGTGTTATTGCAGCATGTCTGATTGAGACAGTAGTGCTTGAAGCCATCGATTCCATGTTCTAAAGGTATCGTTTTTTGTGTCATCATTCGAAGATTCTGTAATCATAAGAAAGTTTTGTGATAGGCATACAGGAATGCCGGTACAGTCGGTCCCTGCTCAATCTCTCTGTCTCTCTCGCTCTGTCTTTGGAGTTGGCTGATGGGGCTGAGGTGCCCCATGTTTGGTTCCAGCCAGAAGAGGGGGAGAGCGGGGCCCCTTCGTTGCCTCGGCTGGACGCGGTTCGGGCAGCTGGTCAGGTTTGTCCACTGAAGAGGTCTGGGGACCGATTTTTGGCGAATCCGCCTTCATCCCCGTCTCTGGCAGATTTGCTCTGGGCCTATCGAACTCAGCCCCCTGGCCGCCTCCAACTCTCTCTCTCCCTCTCTCCCCTCTTTCTCTCTCTCTCGACTCTCTCTCTCTCTCTCTCTTTCTCCATCGTGTGTTAGCCAGATGTCTTCATCTCTCTACTCTCTCCCTCTCTACTCTCTCTCTCTCTCTCTCTCTCCCTCTCTACTCTCTCTCTCTCTCTCTCTCTCTCTCTCCATCGTGTGTTAGCCGGATGTCTTCATCTCTTTCATCTCCACCTACAGAATGCAGCCGGTGTCGGTCCTCATTGCAACGCCTGCGTCGTATTGAATTGATTGAGTGGACAAGCGTCCATTTGCGCTAGCACACGTTTTAAGGATCATTGTCTCTCTCTCTCTCTCTTGGGGTTTGTTACGCTGCTGCTGCCGCTGGGGCCGCCGTCGTCGTCGTCGCAGGTGGACGAGCTGTCGTTCAGAGTTGGAACGCAGAAAGAAGGCACCAGACGACGACGGCGACGACGACGACGACACCAGACGACGTCGACGACATGACGACGACGACGACGACGACGACGGCGACATCAGACGAGAGTTCGTATCGCCCCTTGCCGTAGAATTGGAAGAAGCAGCATCGGCATAAACATCATCTTTTGGACGCCTGCGCGGACTTCTTGACTCGGAGCCGGGTCCCCCTGGCGGCGCCTCCTGCGGCGCCCATGGTGCGCTCCGCGCGCCAGGGAGGGGTGTCCAGCGCCGATATCCGAGAAGGCCTCGCATGCCTCCGAAAGTTTTTGTCTACGCCTCGCCATGGCCAGGGAAGGCCCTCTCCCGCACCAGATTAGTCGCTCCTCGTGGTCGCACGGCGGTTATTGGCGAGCTGTCGTGAGCAAGGAGGCTGGAGGATTATTATTGGAGGTCTCGTCAGCCACTTGTGGTCCCGTTCTGAGAGTCCTTGGGCTGGAAGTGGCGGCCAGTTGCTTCCAGCATGTTGGATCGGCGGGCGGATGCGAGGCAGGCACTGGTCGAGCATCAGGAGGGGCGCTCCGGAAACGAATCGCCGCACAGGAGGAGCCGGGCAGAGGAGAGGGGCTGGCAAGACAGAGCGGCGCTGCTCCGAACATGTCATCCTGCAGCGATGACTGGTGGCAATTTCCTCAGCGTAGCCTGTCTGTGAGAGCAGGAGGAGGAGCAGGAGGAGGAGGAGTAGGAGCGCCTGACAAGGAGGGAGGAGGAGGAGGTTGAGGAGGAGGAGGACCAGGACGAGGAGGAGGAGGACGAGGATGAGGAGGAGGAGTAGGAGGAGGAAACCAAAGACGCAAATCCGATGCTTGAGCATGGCTTGCAAAGCGGGCGGCGCAGAGGTCAGACACGTGACTCACCCGACGCTCCGTGCACACGCTGATGCGAAGTCGCCGACTGCATGGCAACCGCTCCGAGAAGGAAGCTACCCCATGCTCCGAGAAGCACCGAAACGCACATCTGATAGCCGTCTTGAGATCCCTGCGAAGCCTCGGAGGGGCCCAAGAGGGCCCCAAGACTGCCCGAAGAACCAGCCCGGGTCGAGCATCCGACATGGCGGTCACATTTCCAGATGTACCCCTGAAGTCGGAATTCGCCGAAAGGGGGATGTTGGCCCAAGGCGGGATTGATGAACGAACCCAGGCGGAGGCCAACATCCTTCTTTCCAGGGGCCCTCCAGAGCCCTGTTTTTCCAGCCCGCCCTCGGGCCCCAGCCCCGCGGTACAGGAGTGACGCGTCTGCTGCGGGCTCGACTCGACGGTCGCAACGCCGGGGGGGGAAGCCGACCGCTGCTTTACGATCGCGTGCCAGGCCTCCCCGTCGGGGCCCGGGAGGGACCCCT